GTGTGTGTGGGGAACCCAAACTACTACGGGACAGTTCAAGTGAGAATTGCAGGTTGAGACCTAGAGAGTGATCGTGCAGGGGGACCTTGACGGGTGGTGGCCCCTCTTTAAAAATTATCATTTTTAATGAGGTTGTGCCTACGGGAGGTGGTTGCTATAGGGCCCAATTACTAGTTATTATAGGGGCTTATTCAGATGCAGTCACAGCCTTTTCACACTTGCATGAAGATCCAAGCACTCGCCCACTCAGCAGTTCAGCCTCAGAAGCGGGCAGGACCGCTACTTGACCGTTGTTGAAAGGAAAGTGATTCGACAATAGGCAACGCTAGGACGTGTCTTTCTAGATGCTGCACCTTTCAAGCGAATAGGCTAAGCACGTGTATGAATATATCATCGTCACCATCGCTACCAAGATCGCCATCATCATCATCATCATCATCCTCGTCATTGTCATCGTATGACCATGCACTTACTTGTATAAGCCTTTAAACAGCACACGGTGCACGTGAGCTTGAATCGTGACTTACGTTACAATCAAAACTGGTCCCGATTAAAGAGGCCAGAGCATAATTTGCCAGCGCCCAGCGGTCAGGAAGATGGAAACCTCGTGGGTTCACAGCAGCAGGTTTTAAACCTAAGGAGGTTGGGTGGTTCGTGGTCGGAGTGCTGCGGTTGTTTAATAGTTTATTCTGAGCTGATCGAGCTTTCAATTAAGCTTCGCGGCTTCGTTAAGTCGGGGGTGGGGGATTTGAAGTACCCCAAACCGATGTTGAAGCAGGAGCTGCTTCGCAGTTTACATGGCATGGTACACGTCAGCCGGCTTTAGCAATCAACAATCTTCACTCAACGAAGCAACTTCATCGCTTTTGATGACCTCGAGTCTGAGTGTGCAAGCCCTCTCTGTACGCAGCAATGACGCCGCTGCCGGAATCACTGCACTGCCAACTTGTCACGCAAGCTCGCTGAGTTGGGACTCAAAAATTCTGGCAGAAGCATGCGAACATCGGGCTCTCGCCTCAAGAAATGTAGAAGCACAAATCGCACTGTCTCGTTCAATGCTTGCAGCACGGGGTGCTGCTCGTGTTCTGAATAATTCACTACGTCAATCGCATTCGGGAACATGATCTCGGCGGTTGAGGCTTCAACCAAAGTGACACCAAAGGCGAAGGACTCGGTTGCCCCCGTGACCCTCGTAGTTGAGCCTTGTCGCCAGAGTTCAGGAGCCCTATATGGGCCCGTGTAAGGCGCTGGCTGCTCAGACTCCTGATTCTCGCTGGGACGGGCCAGTGCATAGCGACCGATCTTGGCCAAGCTTTGGCAGTGGCTCCAGAAGATAGTTTTTGGTCTGATGTCAGCATGCCAAAAACCCAGGGAGTGCAGAAATTGCAGTCCACTGGCGAGCTGCACAGCAAGGGCCTTCAAGTGATCGCCCGTCAAGGGAGACTCCTCCCTTACCCAGGTCTCCAGCAGTGGCAGATTTTCAACAATCAAACAGTTCGCTGGCCTCTCGGCTAAGGGCACTGTCTGCATGACTTGCAGGAACAACTCTTGAGAGACATTCCCGGGATGCTCGGCGATCTTGTTCATGATCTTCACTTCATGCCGAAAATCACACAGGTTTTGGAACTTCAAGGCCATGGCATTGTAGTGAAGTGTCTTGTGGTAGCATCGGAAGCACTTCACGGAGTAGCCACTCCAGAGAATCTCATTCGTAAGTACGAAATCGCCCAGAGTCAGAAGACCCGGATCCTCGGCTGCCGCAGGCTGGACACTGTCGGAGAATTCTGAGTAAAGTCGGTCAACAGCATCCTTGCGTGCACGATGCTCGAGTACTGATTTTTGGTTCCACTCCTCACGAGACTCTTCAGAAAGATTCCTCCAATCGGCACTGATTTGTTTCATAACCTCTCTTTGAGGACAAGCAGAATCTATGTCTTTGAGCCTTTGCTTGACGTCTTCGGTAGAGGAGCTATAGAACAGGGCGTAGCCTGATCTGGCCGCTGGAACCAAGCCCGGGATAAGCCGTGAGCACTCCGCCGCTGTCAGCTTCCATCGCTGCTGCTTGCGAGAACTTTCGGCAGCACCCTCCGGGCATGGCTTCTTCTTTGCCATCTCCTCAACAAAATTTGAGCAATTTGAGCCTGTTCAATTGAATGCCAATACCAGCTCAAGGAAATCACTGCAATTCAACTTCGAATCTCTGCACGGATCTCTGCACAGACTGATAATAAGCAACCGTGCTTACAGACTCCAAGAAATGCTAAACCCCTTAGTTCTCAGAGCTAGGCTGCAATGACAGACTGTCCACGAGTCCACGGCATCATCTCGCGAAGTCCTGCATGCAGGCGGGGGATTTAGCGATCGCTGCACAGGCAGAAGTGAAGAATGCAGCTGCTTCAGTCAATGAACACTTGTGTCTCGGCATGGTTTTTCCACCCCAGGTCATCTTTCAGGCCATCATGCGAGATGGTTGTTGTTGTATAAAATCTACGTGAGCCACCCAATGAGTGAATCCTGAAGCTTGCATGCTCGTACTACAGACGGGCTGGGAGAGCGCTTCAATGCACAGGTCCGACTTTCAGAAATCACATTCTTGGGCGGCAATTGCAACCAACAGAGCCACTAACATTGGCTTCATGGGTGCTAGACTGGCGGCCACGTCTGCAGTGGAAGGGCTCACGAAGGACATATTAAAAAGCTCACCATCCCACTGCTTGGCCATGAAGATCTCCATCGGCAAAATCTCTCGAACGAATGGCTTCTTGTCGGAGCTGTCCTGGGTGGCCGCCATTGCGGGCAGAACGATGTCCTGGCGGATTGTCAGGGCCATATCCACGGAAGCCATTGTCGATAGCACCTTCCGCGACGAGAATACCATCAATGCAGGCATCGGGAGCTTCTGGATCTGGTGCATCATGACGTAGGCATTCTTTGACTGAGTCGCCGAGAAGCCTTCAAGGGCGGAGGGCGTCTCTTCCGGAGCTTTCCAATCCTCAGGCAAAACCACACCCCTCAGCTTGCTGAATTCATCTTCCTCCTTGTTCTCAGGGTCCTTCACAGGCTCAGCGGGTTCCATGGCAGCATCGTCTTCGAGAGGGCGTTTTTTGGATGCTTTTGTCTGCTTTCGATGTCTGTAGGCGGACTTGCCGAGCAGAATGGAACTGAAGTTTTCTTTCTCCTGCTTGCCGGCCTCGCTCAGGATGGCATCGTAGACGGTGGCAGCCGTTGGCAAAGAAGATTCGGTCGCAAAGACCAGCACAGCTCGCCAAGGGCCAGCCATGGACACTCCCCATTCGGCAGCATGAATCAACCGGCTGAACTGTAGCTTGGCCCCTGCCACTTCTTGAGTCAAGTCATTCTTGGAGAAAGCCATAATGTATCGAGGCTTCAGCTGCTTTATCTTCTCAGACAAAGCCTCCATGTTTGCGTAGTCCTTCTTCTTATCGATCGCCCAGAGAAGCAAATCGGGTTTCTCCATAGTTTGACCCTCTGTCGGATCAAGAGTTATGCCCTGTGGTCCATATCTCACCCGCTGCAGCTCCGAAGTTTGGGATAGGGTCATGTCCACGACAATGGTGTCATCCAGCCATGATCCCTGGGACTCCACCTCTGCCTTCAAGCCATGCAAGACACTGACGGTGTCCCAAAGGAAAGATGCCACCCGCATAGCCTTGGTCGTTGCAGCGTCCATGCTGTGACGAAGCATTTGCAGTCGCGAAACAGAACAGCTTAGGCGAGAACCCGTCCCTGCGGCATGACAAACCCCCGCTTTTGCAGAACCGTCTCGCACAGGTCCCACACGGAGTACAACACCATCTTCGCCACAAGACCGTCGAAGGAACCGAAATCACTGATAAGTTTGAAGGTTTACACAAAACCTGCGGATCAATCGCGATTTGACTGATGTGCTGGGCAAGCAGTTCACAGGGCATGCAATGAAACGGAAAACTCCAACCTTTCAGCTAGCTCGCTGCGCCAAATCTCTTGAATCTCGGGCGACAAGGCGCTGGATTCTTCCTACTGTAGTTACTTGAATGTCAGACTGACTGCAGACTGCCAACCAAAACCCAGCACCTTGCAAAACTGAGCCCTGGCCCACAGAGTCACTGTGTGCCCTCACTAATCACTGTAGGACGAGTGATCACTTGGTGCCCGCTTGCGCTTGTTCTCGGATGTCTGAGACGCTAACTTGGCTATTGTCGCAAGAATCGATCCCTTATGGGGCTCCTGGTCACAGATACAACAATGACGGAAAGCATCGAAAATGACTGACACTGACATGGGGAAATCCAAGAACTAACCGTCCTTCGCTGGTTCCGCTGCACCGGCACCCAAGCTTCTCTCGCGGCTCAGGAAGCGTGCATTGTTGAAACCGTCCCGCTTGTTCTGGATCATTTCGAGGAGGATGCATAGGGTCGTATGTTCCATGATGATCAGTCGTTGTTCATCAGCCAAGCACCTAGAGTCTAGTCCAAGGACATCCCTTTGATCTCAGGAAGTTAAACAATGCACAGCCCTGTCTAGGTTTTGCCTCCAGGTCACAACCCTGTGTACTGCACCATTGCCCGGGCTGCTGCCAAGGCCATGACTCCGGTGCCGGGGCTGAAGTCAACAATCGTGGTCACTTCATCCGCAGCAGACTCCTTGACTGCATACAGATTGATCCACTCCCGTCCACACACCTCCGGGTTCTCCAGCACAAGCTGCGGCAATGCTTCCATGGGCTCAGCCTCTGTCTCTGGAACATCCGTCTCAGCTCCAAGCTTCGTGGTGTCACCGTCCTGGGCATCAGCCTCCTGCTCATCCTCAACCGTCACGAAGCCAGAGAAAATGCTGTCGAAGTGCTTGGGATGCATCCTCCAGGCCATCTCCTCCGCGGTCTTCCTGCGCCTTGGCTCATCTCAATGTCAAGAATCAGTTGCTGTGCAAGGCAGTGCCGCTCACTCGTTTCTATAAGGACAAGATACAAACCAGCTATTCCAGTGGCCCGGCTGTCGCCGGGCAAATCGAGGAAACGTCTCTGCCTGGTGGCCGCTTTGCCACCCTTGCCAAAAGCCATCAGGACGGTCTCTAGAGGATCCGGCAGGAAGCCTCTCACTCGTGTCTTTCCCAGAGGATGCTCGGCCATGGAGAATTCTCGGTTTGTGTACAGCATGCGGATGTACCCGACCCCCCTCCTGTGGCACACATGAGGAAAGGGTTTCAGCCGAGCAATCAGTTCCTTCTTCAATATCTGAAAAGATTTGGTGCTGTTCCCCGGGAAGAACATGAACATGTCGCAGGGTCGGAAAACGCCTTTCTCTGCATGGAAGACGAAGTCGAGGATCTGTCTCAGCATGCTGAGAGGCATGGCAACACTCTCAGCTTTGCATGCACCGAAGTTTTTGGCATCCATCATGTACATCACCTTGCCAGGTTTTGGCCACTCAACAGCGAACTCCCGTAGAAGCTCTTCGTACTTCTCAGCCTTCTTACCCAGCACCTTCAAGTCCACGAAACTCTTCCGACCTTGTTTGTGCAGCTGAAGCAACAAGAAGGCGACACATGCAACTGCGAATACACTGTCCAGAATAAGCCCTGCACGAGTCTCAGCATGGTCAATCATCTGTTGGAGCGTCTCCGGTGACACTTGCTTCAGCAAATCAACCTGAAACTCGGCCAGCACCAAGTGGGGGAATTTTTCCCGCACGTCAAAAACCTTCTCTGGGACCGGTTCCGCTTCCACCAGCACGGCCTGATGCAGCGTGACATGTGCAACCGGAGATTGAAGAAACCCAACCAGGACCAAGCTAAGGTGGAGCCCGCCTCCTCTTCTGGGGGCTTCTCGGCCCCTTTTGCTTCCGACTCCGACTGCTGCCCATCCGCAGGTGCCTCGATAGTGTCATCGGCCTTTTTCTCCTCCACTGGAACCACTTGAGTGACAGCTTCGGGCGGTGTCATCTCTTTCCTCGGGTGCTACACACAGGGCCCCTAAAATTTGCCCAGGATGCCAGCCCCCCCCCCTCCCCTGTTTAGATCGGCATCTCTCTCTGAGCGATCAAGTCCGGGAGGTTTGCAACCTTTGCCATGTGCGGTTGCTGGAGAGCAATCTCTGCCGACATATTCTGATCCTTTTCCACACATTTCTGCAAGGCGTCCCGAACAGTGTCAGTCCCGTCATAAAACTGACGGAGGATCGGCAAAGAGTCACGTTGGTACTCCCGAAGTTGCGACAACCAGGTAAAGTTTCCAGCTTCATCACCCAGGCCGGATGCAAAGTAGTGCTTCCAGGAATAGAAGTTTTTCCAGAAGCCTGCGGCGGATTTCGGGTCTGCATCCTGGCCATCTTCGGGGCACCGGAGTTTGGAGATGATATAGAGGATCAGCCTTCGAGAGAGCAGAGCGACACGCGCTGAGGAGACTACATCGTCTCTGTTTGCATTCGCCGACATCCGCTTGCTCCTTACAGGCAGAAAACATGAAAGTTGCAGAAACCAGACAGCACCGCTGGGCAACATGAAACGAAGACACCACAGGTCAATCGAGGCTCTTAAGCTCGTAGTAGATGTGGTGGACCACGTGCGACAAGAGCTCGTTCTGAAGATTGGTGTTTTTGTCCAGCCGAGTCATACTACAAATCCTGTCCAGGCTCCCAACGGCTGCCAGAGGGTGGCTGACCACTCCAGTCACTTGCTCGCACTCCTCAATGAGGGGGAGCAGATTGGCATCCGAAAGCCTTTGCTTGACTGTGCTCATTGTTTTCACCCCGCTTGCAGCCACAGTGATCTTCAAGCCGGCCAACCATTTGGAGACCTCACCGCCAGCAGTAAATGGCAATGAACATGTAATGAAGACTCGTCCTGACTAAGCCGTGGCTAAACTGCATTCCCTTGCCAAGGTACAGCTGCATCAGAACTGTCTCGACCCCAAGATCGGAGATTATCCTTCATCATGCAGATCCCAAGAACCTTCTTGAAGCCCGTTAAAACAAGGTTATCCGCCATGCTGGTAGTCTTGGATGCCAATGTCCACCGCTGCTTCTCGGCCTCTTCTGGTGTCTTGCAGAGGATGAAGCACACTCGCATTGAAGCTCCAATGGTCCGAAGGAGGGCCAGCTGGGCGTCGGTTTCTGCCTCGATCACTGTGAACCAATACGCAAGGCGATATGCATCGCCATCCAAAGGGCAAAGGGGACCCTGTGGCCTCTCATTCTCACTATAGCACGCCACATGGATGACCTCATCGAACAGCACACCTCCATCAGAGAAAAGACAGGACTGGTGCATGAAATGGCAGATGTGCATGCTTCCGGTGACCCGGCCTTCCCTCTCAAGATCCCAATGTGTGTCCTGGAGGTTGCGGATAGCAGTCCGAGATGGTATCAATCCGGAATGCACAGTGACCAGCGGGTCGATGTCGGTGACCCGAACACAGCACTGGTATTTCTTGTGAGCCTTCATTGACGAACGATAGTCATCCAAGGAGAACTCATGAATACCACCGGCAGATTGGGCAGGCCCTATGTCGGCAATGAACTTTTTCACCTTCTCCGACCTCCGGTGTTGAGCTTCTAACATTCACATGAGGTCACTGCGCAAGTACATACTACCATAGCCAAGCAGCTCAAGACCAGTGCCCAAGGACTGCAGAGTCGGATGCTGCATCGCAGAATCCAGCGGAGACGGCATGATCGGATTCCCTTTTTTCACCATTCGTATCATGATCCCTGAAGATTCAACACGGGGCCGGGCGCAACGAGCTTGCAAGCCGAGCAGACGGAACCTGAACCCTTGCTGAGTCAGTTTTTGCCGATGTCTTAGGCTCAATAACTTCCTGGGAACTGGAGCAGAGGCCCCTCCGGGGGCAAAGCTGCAAAGCACAATTCAAAAAGGCTCATGTAATGAGCCGGTATCGCGACAAAGCAAGGGTCTCTGAAGAGCAAAGAACCACGAGGCTTTCGCAGCCCTGTCACATGAAATGTAAAGCCTTCAGCATGGGCAGCATCGTCAAGGCCAAGGCAGAGCTGGACATCGCTTGCCCCATCACCTCCATACTCTGCGACTGGGTCAATCCATGAAAGGAGTAGCCAGGGAAGCCAAGTGCACTCATGAGCTCGGCAGGCTTCAAGAACCTCAAGACAGGTGTGTTTCAAGGAACAAAGGAGTTGGGAAGTGCAAGGACACCATGGACAGTCCCAGCAAAATCAAACAGGAAGCCGCTTCAGTGCATACGAGTAAAGACGGCTGGATGTGGCCAGAGATGGCAGTGTGCCGTTGATATGAACTCTGCCTCTGGCTGTCGTTTGACCCACGTCTGCCACAGGGTGACAGCCTGCTACATCACTCGAGGGGCGGCTGTGCTCGATGATGAGGCCGTACCTTGCCAGCTCAACTTCCACTCAGAAGTGAACGGTCGCACAGGGCCCAGCACACATATTGTGTCCAGTACTCACACGATTAGTAAGCAGCGGACACCATGATCTGGGCATCCATCCAGGGCCCGAAGTCCGAGAACGTGGTCAAATTTGGCACACGGACATTGCTGGGGAGTCGATTGGCCTCGATAGCCTTGCCCAGTGCCTTCTCCAAAGCAGCTTCATAACGAGCACGTCCTTCCGGCACAGGAACATTGAGAAGAACTTGCACCCCCAAGCACGAGTTTTAGACAACCAAGGCACGTTGTGCCAAATCCATTGCCACGTCGTTGTCCAGACTGGGGGTCTCCTCGAGCGTCGTCTGCAGGCAGGTCTCCAGATGATGCACTTTAGGTGTGGCACCCAAGTACAGCTGCCTCAGATCAGCATATGTGGTTCCACATGTGTGATCAATTAGATTGAGATGTAAATTTAAATGGGTGATGGACACACAGTACCCAAGTTGTGCAAACATGGGACAGCTTCTGCAAATCCTCACAGATTTGCCCCAAACCCACATCGTGATCCTTCCTCACACCGATGGTGTACGTGCGCTTTCGAAAAGATGGCCTGGGCAAAGCGAATACAAAATGACGTGTCGCAGGCACCCGAATGTTTGCAACTTCTAGTATCGCTGCCGAGTGGCAACCGATGCGAAGGTATTACGACATGCTCGAAATCATATGTGCTCCCCAACTCTGCAGCAATGGTTTCCGTGACCCATTGCACAACCGGCACTGGTTTCCCGCTGCTGCAGACGTTATGAATGCCCTGGACATTCTCCAACAGGAAAGCCAGAGGAGTCAGCTTTCCTATCATCTTGACCACAGACTTCAGGACCTGTGCTTCGGGCTTCGATGTGGGGTCCTGGGTCGCGTCATAGCGACTCGGGTTGAGGATGCTGTTCGCCTGGCAAGGGTAGCCTGCAATAAACATGTCTATGTTGGCCTCCGACCCCGTCGGAACAGGACATACCTTCTGGCACTTCAAGCAGTAGTCTTTTCCACGATCGGCTTGCTTGTTCACATCGGTATGCAAATGCAACGGTCCGCCGTTAGTGTTCAGACACGCTGCATGACATGCACTCCTGTTACTGTCGCAACCCAGCACATCAGAGACGTCTACCGCGCGAAGCAGCTCCTTCAACACAATCGAGGGAGCCCCAGACCTTCCAAAGACAAAATGCTTCTCACGGCAAACGGAACTCGGAGCAATGGACAGCAGCAACAAACCAGGCAAAATGAGGTACCGGCCCTGTGCAAGATGTGGCGAACCGGAAAGGCTTCGATGAAACCGACTCTCTGACCCCAAGAACTTGCATGAGCTCCGTCACAAACGACCGCAGGCAAAACTTGTCGTGAGAGAGCATTGGCAAAGTCTCATAGCCTTGCGGAAGACTGGCCACTCTGGCACTAGGTTTTTTTTGAACCTTCTTGACCTTCGTTTTCGCCGCCGGTTGCTTGCCTTTTGCCATGGCGGAGGCTTCTCCTGATGCTGTTAAGCCCAAAATCCTCGGAATCGTTGTTGATTCAAGGATGTGATTCCAAGACGACATGAGCAGGTACACATAAGACAGCCTCGACCCCGGGTTTCCTTAAGTGTCCCACAACGCGTTTGGGTACAGTTAAGGGCTAATAGTTTTGCAGCGTAGCCTCCCTTTATGTATGTCTACGCTGACTTCAACAATTTTACAGTTGTCCTACGGGGCAGTTTCCCCGGCCCTTAAGTGTACCCAAACGCGTTCGAGGACACTTAAGGGAATCCAGCATCATTAGTCTCTTAAGTGTCCCAGCACATCTTGGCTCAGAATAGAAACAACAGAACTGCGAGCAAGCAGGCTCAAGAGTCCACGGATTCCAAAGTGAGAGGCGAAACGGCCTCGGAGCCACATCACTGATCAACATCCGACGCCGTGCTGCACTGAATACTGCGAGCTATCATCGCATGCAACTGACAACTTCACGACACTCTGCATTCTGGCTGACTCGCAGGAAACTGCATGTAGCATTGCACACTTGTAAGTAATCCCACTGAAAAGCCCCTGCTGCGAGAGGGCTTTCACACCTATATTGACCTCGCCTGTGGACCGGGTTCCCCGCAAGTAGAGAACGGCGTTCGTCGAAACCTTGTTTGAAGTTTGAGTGAGGTCAAACAGCGAGAATGCCAATACCGCAGGCTGAACTTCGGAGTCTCAGGTGCACTTGAAACCTGCTTTCAATCTAGCCTGTCCTGCCGCACTACAACTGCCGTGGTGAGTCCCGCCCCGGCCCCTGAGAGCAACACAATCAGCGGGATGTCGCCTGTACCTGTGAAGCTCAGGACACAGTCTGGAATGCACATGTCCAACCGGGCTTAGCCAACATATCCGAGAAACACAAGCCTGGCAGTTCTATGTCGTATTAAGTCTTGACTCTCTGCGTGAAAACATCACAGAAGGAAGCATGGGTCAACAGCAGTCAAAACTGTCGCTGTGGGTAAAGCTGTTTTCACACCCCACGCGCAACCCCGCCCCGGACACAGCCCACAGCTGTGTGTGAAAACCGGCCACATGAAGAACCACAGCTGAGGCAGCACACAATCAGTTTCTGCTTTACACATAGTATATATATATATATATACTTAGCCCAAGTTTCTTATTCTAGCTAGCTGTACCTCTCTCAGAGATGGTTCGAATGGCCTCCCCCTGAATGATCCTTGTCAGGTCTGTCCCAGACCAGAGTGCAAGCTCCTAAAAGCTTCTTCAAAGTCCACGGCACTGGGCCTCTGTCTTGGGCCGATGTCTGTGCATGGACGAAGTTGTCACCACAAAGCTCGTGTGTCAGCGTGGGCGTCTTTACAGCTGTTGAGGGCAGCGGGAAATCATGCACGTCGAGACGTGGAAGCTTCCCCCCGACCTTTTCACGAGGGGCTGTGAGCAAGTGGTTGGCATGTTGCGGATACTGCTCCTTGAAACTGCTGTGGATGTAAAGCACAAGTCGTTTGCCATGCGCCAAAAAGCTTCTGAAGCAAATCTCTTCTGAGCTCCTTTCCCCTGTGCTCTTGTCAAACCAAGAAGGAGTCACAAGACGACATCCGTGAAGTCGAGCGTAGAGGGCTTCCGGCAACTCGAAGTCAGACGCTAGGCTCTTCACCATGACCAAGTCTGCAACGGAATGCAAGCTGCCACTGCGCAAGAACCTGTGTGAGCTGGCCACCCCAGACTTCAGGTTCCGAACCTCCGAGCTCATTCCTGGTATTGGAAGAACGACACAAGAGCTTGGCAGCACTGGGGCCGGTCCGGGACCAGCAACTGGGCCTTTTATCCTCATGAGGCCCCCGCGGGCATCCACATATGGGACGGGCTCACCCGGTGTCGACGCAAGAAACACAGCAGCCTTCTTGTCCAAAACCTTTCGCTGCACAGCCACGGCGCCTCCACTTTCGGGGTCCACATGCTCCGGCACCAAGGGTTCTGGGTCATGCGCATCTTGAGGGCCCCGCATGCTTCTCTCACGAATGTCTGTGTACATCTGATTTGCAGCTGTCACACAATCGTCCATCACCCGTCGACGCTTGGATGCAGGCGGCAGATCCACAGGGCCCAGAGGTCCGCTAGCATCTCCAGCTTCGGCACCTGCATGAACTCTCTTGATAGCGGCTGCGACGGATTTTCCATGTTCGACCAAGTAAGCAGCTTGAGAAATTCCAACCGACTCGGACGGAGCTTGCCGTGCTTTGGGGCATAGCCTGGGCCGCTCTGCCAAGATACGCTTCTTTGCAATCTCGTCGGGTCCAAGCGGCATGATGTTCCTTGCCTTGCTTCGCTTCTTGCCAAATAGCTTCAGGTAAAGCTTTTGAGACCTGAGCCCGAAAACCGAAATGGGGTGGGACACCCCACCTCCTCCTCCAGTCGTGATTCGCGGAGCAGAGTCCACCAACATGGCCTTGGGCCCCAATGGATCTCTTCGACGACCCCGGTCGTCTTGAACTAAAAGCTTCAAAGCCGCAGCAGCTCCCTGTGGATCCAATGCCCCTCGAAAAGCATCCACACGCCTCAGTTGGCCTAACCACCTGTCCACCGTGCCTGTGCCGGACAGGCTGGCAAGATACGTTGCAATGAGAGTTTTTGCAGGGGAATCGGCGGTCAGCTCCTGAAAGGTTTTAAGCCAGGCAGATTGATGCCGGGATTCAGGCGCATGGCACTGTATCTTTCGTCCCTTGTTGTCTGGCGGCTGTGCCTGCATAGCGTCCAAAGCCAACCCAGCAGCCGAGCCGTGCCACTGAGCCCTGTGAAGCAAACCTGAGGGGATAGCATATCTTTCCGAACCTAGCACCTAGCTTGAAACAACAGAACCTACAGGATTAATTATTGTCTTAGGTCACCCAGCCTGAAGTGCTGCCATTGCCGATGAACTGCCGCCAAACCACGTTTATGTCCAGCTTAAAGCGATGACACAGAAGCCTCAACAACTTCATGCGGTCTCTCGATGAGAGGTCGCAGTCGATGTTGAATGCAGCGAAACAAGCTGCTTCCTGGCAGGGCTGCTCGGGGCACGCAGTCGGATAATGCTCATGCGCTTTAGGACGGGTTTTCCGCGGGCTTATTTGGTCATGTGGCGGAAGCCTCGAACATTGGAAAATTGGCATCGAAGTACGCTTCATAGATCCGGTACAGCCTTGCAGGAACGTCCACACACCAGTGCAAGTACAAACGAAAACCGTAGGTATTGGTTCCGTATGGGATTAATATTAGTTCCTTACCAAGGGAATGACTCTATCTATTGGTATGACTTTATTGTATATTTGATACGGAATACAGAGCCGGTGTGAGGTCCTTAGCAATCTTTGTATAATTTCCGTATGGAACCAATATTGGTTCCCTACCAGGGAATACAATCGCAGCCTCGGTATGTTTTCATAATATAATTAATATGAACAAACAATACCACAGTCCAACATGCCACCAGTACATATTATTAATTATTGACTCCGTATGGAATTAATATTAGTTCCTTACCAAGGGAATGAGTCTATCTGTTGGTATGACTTTGTTGTTTATTTAATACGGAATACAAAGCCGGTTTGAGGACCTTACCAATCTTGGTTCAGTCTCCGTATGGAACCAATAATGATTTCCTACTGAGGAATACAATCATACCCTCGGTATGATTCCATTGTATAATTGATATGGACGGAAAGTATCCCCAAGCATGCTACTCCCGCTGATTTTTTTGAAAGCTCACACCCAAAACTAAAACAAACCAGGACGAAGGCACCAAATGCAGATAAAACTTCCACTGCAGACGAAAGTCTCCTGTGCTTTCTCAAGTGGAGCTCTCCTGCCAGGAGTGCCAGGCTTCGGCCAGTGTAAGGAAACCGCTCCCGCGTTGGGTGTGTTTTGCCGAGTGAAAATGATTCGGCCTCGAATGGCTCGCAGTGCCGTGTGGGTGAGGGTGGCATCTGCCTCTTCTAAAAACAGACCTTGATGCAGCAACAAAGCCTCGAGTTTGTGCTTGATCTCCGCCGCGGCCGGGCCACTGACGGCGAAGTCTGCCGCACCCTCGTCCTCGACTCTCAAAGCAGGTTGGGCCACCAGCAATGTATCGGCCACTACTGCCGCCGTCACCAAAGCCTCGTAGGCTTTGTCCCCGGACCATTTCTCCAGCAACCCCGCTGCCCAGTTGGCATCGCTGGGATCATCACAGCTGCTCAGCTCAGACAGTGTTTCGAAGCAGATGGGTAGCAAACGAAACAGCCGCATAAGAGGTTTGACTCTAGAATCAAATCTCGCTTCTGAGTAGCTTAGATTCTTCAGCGTGGCAGCGAAAGCGGGGCCGTCATGAAGATGCCTGAGCTCCTTTGATTCTCTCTGCTTCTGCTGGAAGATCAGAGAGAACTTCAAAGAAGACTCAAGCATCCTCGACAAAGCCCGAGGTCCAGTGACCAAATCGCTCAAG